TTACGAGAGAACAAATTTCTGTTCTTTACAGACACCCGCTTTGTGGTAACTTGTTATACCAGCCTTAAGAAACTAATCATCGTGTATATATGACTTACGGGCCCCCTTATAAAATTATCAGAAAGCAAAACGAAAAGTCAAACCTCTCGAAGGATGGCATTGCCATCATTGGTCATCACAATGCCTCCCATTGGGTCCAAAAGCATCTAGGAGAAAAGCAAAAGTTTTACCTAATTGTTCCAGATTACGGAAAAGGAAAATCTGTAGTCACAAAGTTTCAATGAGAGGCCTACCTTCATCATGGATTTGGGTCCCAGACATGTTCGGATGATATCTGCAATGGTCTGTCGAAAGGAAAACATAAAACATGCAACCACCAGTCAGGAGATGGTGCAAACACATGTGTGAGAAGGGACACGAGGAACCTGCAGAGCCAGTGTTTAACCCTCTAAAGCCAGGCTGATAACCACATTAGACACAGGGCACCGTGTGGCTCCATTCTGCTGTCTCTCCCCTTAAGGAATGACTTCAGCGTGGTGTATACAGAAATAATTTTTCCCAGGAAAAGAGGGGGACGTGCCTTCCAGAGTTTCAGTTTCTCAGTAGCTCAGGTAACTGGAAGTCTACCCGTGAGTACTTCTTTCCACGATGTTGGCCTCCACGCCACTGACTCAGGTCTACAGCTGTTGCGTTCCTTCATCCCAAGATATTTACTGACTACCTAACCAGGCTCTACAGCGGGCACTAGGAATACAAATGGGAACACGGTCCTTCCCCTCAAGTAACTCAGTCTAGCATGCGAGACAAACACAAAAAGACTCTAAAACTTATACACGGTAACAGAATTATGCACAAGTGAATATGGGAAGACTGTTAGGTCTGCCTCATTGAGGAAGGGCTTCCTTCCACCTACCACCATCAGAGACATGTACTGAAAGAAAGGGAAGTCAACATTTCCTCTGCCTATTTGCGAATAGATACAGAAATCCTAAGGAAGGCAGCTAGAGACAAAATAATACTCTAAACTACTTAAAAGATAAGCTACTTTAGGGGTGCCTGGCTGGCTCAGTCAGAAGAGCATGAGACTCTTGAT